CTTAGTATGATGAATATTTCTCCTAAGATAGAAGACCTAGTCTGATGAATTTTCTTCTAGGATCAAAATCTTTGTCTGATGAATCTTTCTCCTAAGATAACAAAAAAACCTAGTCTGATGAACTTTTTCCTAGGATCGAAATCTTAGTCTGATGAATTTTTCTCATAAGATAGAAAACCTAGTCTGATGAATTTTCTCCTAGGATCGACATCTTAGTCTGATGAATCTTTCTCCTAAGATAACAACAAAAAAAAGAGGGACTTAGTCTGATGAATTTTCTCCTAGGATCGAAATCTTAGTTTGATGAATCTTTCTCCTAAGATAAAAGACCTAGTCTGATAAATTTGATAGTCAAATGTTCTTGGTTTTACTCACAGGAGACGCACATACCAGTCAAGTCTTTAGTTTTACTCTCATCATTGCATCAATAGCATATGTGATTTACAGTTTTGCTAACAACTCATAAATCTTCCTAGTGCAAACTGGGGTAGAAAATTTTGTTTGTTTCGTTGTTTGATTGTAGGCACCCATCTGGAGAACAAGGGAATTTGTTTCAATTATTTCAAGTTTCAAGTCAGTAGCAGGCGCCCACCTGAAGAACGAGGGAAGTCATTTTAGAATTCAATTAAAGTTAGAAGTAGCAGAAGCTCGCAGTAAGAATATGAGTCGACAATCCGAGATGACCAGCAGAAGTAGTCTCAATCTAGAATAAAAGAAGAAAAAAAAAGAAGAAAAAGAAGAAAAAAAGAGAAAAGAAGAAAGAAAAGAAAGAAAGTGAATCCAAAATGCAACAGCAGAAAAAAAAGATGTCAATTGCTAAAAACGTGGTTGAACTCACGAGCACTACATGTTCGTCGTTATCCGAAAAGCTGAAGAAGAATGAACTAGCACCTGCAGCTAGCAAATGTCAAGGTTCAAATCTAAAGTCTGCATGAAGAACCATTCAAGACTCAAGATCAAGCTTCAGAAGACTTATAGATAAGAATTTTGTAACTCATAGCTGACAGATTTAGTTAATCTTTTTTTTATTTGATGTAATAACAAGACCGCGGACCGGAACCTCGATGGAACGACACCTCGATCGTCTCCCCACCTCGGTATACTCCATCATCTCACTCACCTCTAAACTACACGTGGCCTGATTCCTTTATAGCCAAGGATATGTAGGCAGCTCAGATACCAGGGCTCGGTCACATCCCCCTTCCTCGTAGTTTTTGGTCTCCCTAAATAAGAGTCGGGTCAAAAAACCTGTCTAGTCGTTTTTTGTCTGAAAATATTTCGTATTTCCAGTCAAAGAGGGGCAGCTGTAGACATGTGATTTTTGACCCTCCCCAAGATTTTACATATTTTAGCATTTAAACACTTAGTTTAGGTCTAATATAGTTATTTCAACTAATTTTTACTCTTTTACATTATTTTTATCACAAAATTGAAAAATACAAAAATAGTTTCATTTTTCTCTATTTAATTAAGGTATTAGGTATTTTTAGAAAAATATTATTTTTTAACCCATTTTTATTTTTAGTATAATCCTTGAAAATATCAAAAATAGCTTTATGTCATGATATAGTTGTTTTAGTTAATTAGGATTAGTTTTACATTTTATAGTATTATTTTAGAAAAAAATAAATATTTTTATCCAAATTGCAAGAATTATGGAATTAAAAACTAAATTTTATAACCCAATTCACCAAGCCCAATCTTCTTAGCCCACCCCTAACCTTTGAAGACCCCTCTTCTTCTTAAGACAAAAGAAAAACCTAGAAAGATTTTCCTCTCTTAACCTTAGACCCATGGAAAACCCCAAGTGATCCTCTCTAGCTAACACACACGAACAATGAGATCTCCTCCGCCGTCTCTCTCTCTCTTCATAAAAGAGACTCAACGGCAATGAGCAAAGAAAATGGAGAAAGGGAGCAGCGGCCAAAAAATTTTCCAAGGCCCCAGCCTTTTCACATCCCTATTGTCATCTTCCAACCCGGCGACACCAGCCTCAAATCGCAGCAAAGCTAGCTGCAAAACAAATCCAAGAACAACTCTGAAACATCACTGAAATCAGCCACGAGAATCAACCAAAAACCAACCATCTTCTCCACCATCTTAAACACCTTGAAGCCTCCATTAAATATCAGCGAAAATCAGTCTAAAAATAAGAAAAAACAGTCCCAAAAACAAGCAGAAAACCTCCATCAAACAGCTCTAAAAACAGTCTCGAAACATCCTAGAAATAGTCTTGTCTCCGTCGTAATTATACCATCTCCGACCAGCTCCTTTTCCTCCAACAAACAACTGCAAAACCATCTTGAAATCATCCCCAACCCAGCAAAAGAATAATCCCAAACACCATTAGAAACACCCGACGAAGCAACTGTTTCAGTTTCTTCCGAGTTTCGCAGCACTACGATATATTTGGCGAGGTATCCCCTTCGAGGTTTTCTGGTCAAGCTCGAGTCCCTGCTCATGTTCATACGTTGTTGCTGTAATTGAAGAGAGATCTACTCATTGAGGTCAATTTCTCACCATTTTTTTTGTTTCTTGTATTTAATGGATCATGCCTAATCTTATTCTACATGTTTATGTGGTGATATAAGTTTAACGTGCATTTGTGAATTTATGTTTGGTTGTTTGATTCTTTGCATCCGATTCTCGTTAGTTTGAACTAATATTCCCTTTTGTTATTGTTGATTAAAAAAATGGAGAGATATAACGAAAGAGAAGTCAGGCAGTGATGATTAGTTGAAAATGTATCGTGGGGAATTGAAATGCTAAAAAAAGCAATTTGGACTAAATAAAGAAACGTTTAACGCTTCCATTATTCCCTTTTGATTATTATAAGTACATTTAAGGTTGTTAACATATGGACAAGAATTGAATTTTATTTTATTTAGTTTTATTTTATTTTGGGTTATTTTTATTGTTCGCTAGCCGCATGTTTAGGCTGATCACTTGGGTAGGCAAGCTTTAGGATTTTTGTTAGTATCGAGGCGAGAGGTCGTTCCCTTAGTTAAATTTATCGGGGGAATGCCCCGAAGGATTTGTATATATTTTATTTCGGGAATTCCCTCGAAGTATTTGTATTTGGAAGCCTAAAGTAGAACTCGTAGTATTTTATTTTATTTTTATTTTTTATTAGGTGGGGACGACCTCGATCCTCGTGTGTGTTTATTTTGCTTTTCCGTATTTATTTTTACCTCAATTTGAATATTCTAAAAGCCAACTAGATCGAGTACGTAACTGTGGCTTTCACGGGACTTGGGGAGTGCCTAACACCTTCTCCCCGAGTCAAATGAACCCCCTTATCCGAATCTCTGGTGCATACTTAGTTTTGGAGTCCAAAGTGTTTAAAAAGAAAAAAATCATTTTTATAAAATGGTGACCTGACACACCGGAATTAAATGTCAGGTGGCGACTCTGAAAAGCCCTTTTGAACATAATTTTGTCACTTTCGAATTTGAAAACCCTTTTTGAGCTTCAAAAATCCTTTTATTTATAATAAGAGGGTTAAGTGAGGTTTGCAAAAAAGGTGTGTGACAATTAAAACTATTATTACGACACNACTCCATTACGAAGTAATAAAAACTAATTTAAAACAAAGAACTTATGAAGTAATATTATTCTTCCAAAAGAAAGACAACTAGTAGAAAAATACTAAAGACAAAGAGAGACCAAAGACTAGTTTTCTCCCGTATGACTCTATATCTTCTCTTCAAAATTCACACTCTATTTATAGAGTTTTCTTGCCTATGGTTCTCCATAGTTACAACTACGGAAATTGTAGGTGCAACTATGACTTTGCCAATTGAGTGTCATTCTGCAGAGGAAGAACCATAGTTTCAACTATAATTTGCTAGTTGCAACTATGTAATTTGCTTCATGATTTCCAATTGCCATTGTCGCAATTATGGTGCTATATTTGCTTCTTCATTCCCGGTTGACTACTCAATTCTCACTTTTTTTTGCTTCTTTTCTTTAATTTTCATACGCTCTTCCTCCTGCGAAGTATGTTAGGAAATATGGGAGAACATGGTATATTTATTCATGTTTTATTTAAAATATTTAATATTTACATATAAAAATATATGAATAAACTATATCCATCACCCCTGGATCCTAAACCACCCAACTATTAGAACCATTATCGAAGGTCTCCTTACTCAAACTGACATTTCGACAACAGTCACTATAGTCCACAACAAAGGGACCTGGATACCTCATCCATCTCCACAAACATCCCATCAAGTATCAAAAACACTCTCCTCAACACATTCATCCCACCCAATCCTATAAAAGAGGATAGGATGATCTGGGGAATCACCACCAATGGCATCTTCAGCACAAAGTCAGCCTACTCTTTTCTTGTCAACATTGTCCCAGTGGAAGGTACAAATACATGCAGCAACTCCTTATGGATCTGGAAGCTGAAAACACCAAACAAGATCCAATCCTTCTTCTGGCTCCTCTATCACGAAAGGCTCCCCACTGGGGCCTTCTTCCACCACATAGGGTTAAGTCTGAACCTATTGTGTTGTTTCTGCAACCAGGCCATTGAGACATCGGCTCATATTTTCTTTGAGTGCCCTAACACAAAAGAGTTGCGGGCAAATCTACTCTAGAAGAGCACCTTCAAGGCACAAATCCAAAACATCTCATTCAGCAGCCAGGATTAGCCTACCACATGGGCCTATCTCAAAAAGAAGCCTTTCAATAATATCATCAATTGGGAAGACTTCCTTTCTTTTAGCTTCTGGTAGACCTGGATCACCAGGAATAATAATCTCTTCAACAAAAAGGACATAATCCTTGCAAATGTTGCTTTAGCAAAAGCCACTGAGTTTATCACTATCTCTGTGGACAAAGTACCCACAAAAGAAAAGACTACCTAGGTCAAGTGGATTCCCCCACCAAGAGGCCACTTTAAACTTAACATTGATGGGGCTGTAATTGGGAACCCGGGCAGGGAGGAGGGAGGAGCTTTCAGAGATACAAATGGTAATTGGGTGATGGGCTTTATGGGAAGTATACAACACACTACCAATACACAAGCAGAACTACTTGCAATGCTGAGAAGACTACAGATTGCTGAAGAAAGACAGTTTTCGCCTCTGGAAATCAAGACAGACTCTACCGAGGTAATAAGAATGCTCAACAACGAAAATCATGTTTTTGACTCAATTATCTTTGAATGTCGGTCAATCATCCTAAGACTCGGAGACGTGGTGGTAAAGCACAGCTACAAGGAGATGAACAAAGTAGATGACCTATTGGAAAAGGAGGGTGCCAAAAAGAATTTTTTTGATAAACCTATGTAACAATAGTTCCTCTGGTGTTTGCTATCCATGCTTTTTGAGCAGACATGACAGGGATTGTATTTTCAAATAAGTTTTTGATTGTAATAGCTCTACTTTTGTTACTAACGCGGGGGAACTAGTATACCCCAGTAAACAATGCTACTGTATATACCCTAATGGATAATGTTTAATATATGCTAGAAAATCCCTTTAACCAAAAAGAAAAGGTTATTAAAGAACGAATTTGAAGAAAAGTATTACTGAAAGACATCATATTTATACCTTCTCATCTTTATTGAAAAATTTGAATCTTAAAGTTGCGCAATGTTTGTGCTCTTTGACTTAATATACATTAAATTTAGCTGGAAATCATACGAGTTTTAAATTCTTTGACGCTTAAATTTACTAAATATTTGTATTTAAGGTAGGACGAAGCATTATTGAACTTTCTCATACAGGTATATTCCAGTTTCTCATCATCGTTTATCGATTTGATATTTTAAAGTCAACACTGTATTTCTAATAAAAACGGACAATGTACTGTTCCTTTCCTTCTTTTGATATATGTGCTATATTTAACTGGCAACAAGCAGTGGAGACAGGAGGGAATGGTTCACAATAATATTTACAATTTGAATTTAAAAAATGACCATGTAAAGATTTCTTTTATTTTATTTTGAAATATTTTATGTGTAAAAATAACAATCTCTGGAAAATTTTGATATGAAACAGCAAAAATTGTAATAGGCCCTAAAACCAATAGGAGAAAATGTTCCGATACAAGTTGCGGACTCTTCCACTAATCATGTGGAACCCAATTTTTTAAATATGATAATGTACTCAAGTTAAGTTGTATGCATCAGCATTGTAAAAAATATTTATATAAATAATTCACTTAAAAAGTAATAGACTTAAAAAGCAATCGCAGGCAACTGTGTTCAATACTAGCATTACCTAGAATAAATGATAAGTAACTTGTTATAACTAACTAAATTACACTATAGTATAAAAGTTCATCATACGGACTGCACTGGATATAACTCAAATCATTATTTTTTAGAAATATGAGTTATGCTCTATTGAATTTTTTACTTCTACTTAGGGGAGGATGCACCTTTAGCGAAGCGGTGGCACGCGACACCGCTTTATTGGAAAATTCTACTAAGTGTATGTATTAATACTGCAAGAAAACGGATAAGTAAGAAAAAATGACACTATTTGACAAAATTTGTGTCACGATCCGGATTTCCCACCCTCGGGAGTCGTGATAGCGCCTACTCGTGAAAGCTAGGCAAGCCGCGTAATATAGAATCTCTAACTCTTTTATTTAGCCTTTTTAACAATTTAAACTAACATGTGATTAACAATGAAATATTAATGATAAATAGATACAAGCGGAAGACTTAAGCTGGTAAATTAACCATAAACAGTACGACAATGCCAACATACATCTCTACCTGGAATCCGGTGTCACAATATCACAGACTGTCTATAAATACTGCACACAAATGTCAGAAAAAAAAGTAAAATCTGTCTCGGAAGCAAATGAAAACAGAATAAACATAAAGATAGAAGCGAACGCCGGGCCTGCGGATGCCTACAGGACTACCTCGGGATCTCTAACTGGACTGAAGGCAGCCACCCAATGCTACGGTCCAAAAGCTGCCGCTCTGGGAACTGCACATAGTGCAGAGTGTAGTATCAGCAACCCCGACCCTATGTGTTGGTAAGTGTCTGGCCTAACCCCGGTGAAGTAGTGACGAGGCTAGGACCAGACTACCAAATAAACCTGTGCAGTTATATAATATGCAGTAGAAAATAAAACAGGAATAAACAAGTAAAGATGGGAGGGGGTACATGCTGCTGCGGGGGAATATTAGTACCAACAGTAAATTAAGAGAAAAAGCATAAGAACAATTTAGAATTTACAACAAAAAAAATAAGGAACTTGTAACCAATCTATGAACACTTCGTATTATCAATTGCTGCGGCGCGCAACCCGATCCCAAAACTTAATAACTCTGTTGCGACGTGCAATCCGATCTATATCATTTATCACTGTTGCGGCGTGCAACCTGATCAAATTATATTATTGTTGCGGCGTGCAACCTGATCAAATTATATTATTGTTGCGGCGTGCAACCTGATCAAATTATATTATTGTTGCGGCATGCAACCCGATCCAAATATAATATTGTTGCGGCATGCAACCCGACCCAAAAATAATATTGTTGTGGCGTGCAACCTGATCCAAATATAATATTGTTGCGGCGTGTAACTCGATCCACATATACAGTTCAACACCAATCACAACAAGAGTCCCGACAAGGGACCAATAAAGAAACAACACTATCCCGGCAAGAGAATCGACGGTATAAGTAAATACGTCCCGGCAAGGGAAAATCAGCTATAACCAAACTTGTTCCAACATCTAACTACCTCAACTAGCACCAATACTCAATAATAAGTAATTTCCACGAGAATAATCATAATCCTTGTCCAACTCAGAGAATCAACAACTTAGACATTCGTAGTATTTATTCGGAACACAACAATACCAATTTAAGACTCACGGTTATGCTTGACACCAACGTGTAGATACTCGTCACCAAGCCTATACGTCATACTCAACAAGTAATATATAGCAAATAGGACTCAACTCCTAATCCCTCAAGCTAAGGTTAGACCAAACACTTACCTCGAACTTCCACGGCCAACTCAAGCCTCAAACACCGATTTTCCTTTAGAATTCGCTTCCAAACAACTCGTATCTAGTCCAAATTGATTTAACAACATCAATAAATGCTAAACAATCTAATTCCAATGCTCAATTGTAGAATTCCCATCATTCTTCCCAAAAAGTCAAAAATCGACCCCGGGCCCGCTGGGTCAAGACATGAGGTTCGGACCAAAACCCGATCAATCATTCATCCACGAGCCCGAATATGTATTTAGTTCCAAAATTCGACCCCAAAACGAGGTCTAAATCCCAATTATGCAAAAAGCCCTAACTTTACCCAAATCCCTAATTTTCTACCCTTAAGAACATGATTTAGGCCTAGAAATCTAATGGGTGTTAATTAAGGCTGCATTGTGGTCCGGGCCCGGGCCAAACGGGCCTGGGCTTGAGGTGGGTCGGGATGAGGCGGTCCCGGGCCAAACGGTCCCAATGTGTGGAACCGGCCCACGGTGGTCCTAAGCCCATATGGTCCCGGGCTAAATGGGTCGGGCCCACGGGCCTAGCGGGCTTTTTTCGTTTCGGGCTATTTTTTTTATTTTTTTATCTAAGGAACTTTCTTGTAAACTATATATGTATATACTAGTATAAATTGCTTATATATAGCTATATAAATATATATAGTATATATAGTATATATAGTATGTATAGTATGTATATATAAGGGTGTACTATGTGTATATATAATTATATATTGCCTTATGTAATATATATTGCCTTATATATATGTATGTATGTATATATATAGTTTATATGTATTAGATATATAATATATATACTATATCAAATTTAAACACAAAATAAATTGCAAAGAAATATTCAAGGGAATGTCTTATATATTTTACTATTACGACATTAACAAAGAATGACAATATCTTTCTTAGTCTTCCTCCCCCTATGGAATGAGCACAACAAGGTACTAATACCACCATTAAAAGGAAAAAAAACTAAGGAAGATGTGCCAAAATACAAGTTACATGTTAGTCTATGTATTATCTCTAACAAATCTCATAAATCCTTCAAGGTCCGGAGAAATTTTCGTTGGTAGTGGTGGAAAAGAAGCTTGTTCATCACCGCTTGCGGGCGAAGCAGCATCCTGCGCAAGTTCCGCTAGCATTTCTTCATAAGCTTCATCTATCTCCGGTTGTGATTCTGCAAGTCCAAAATTTCTTCTTTCCGAACGCATCCAATCTCTGAAGAGTACTGATTTTTCCAAGCTCTCCCGCATAGACGCTCTATGATCACCGATTTGAAGTCTCACTTGACTGAATGCACTCTCTGATGCTACTGTTGAAGCTTGAACACTTCAAATATCTCGAGCCATCCTTGAAAGAACCAGATAGTGTTTTTGTTTGTCCTTCCACCATTCCAAAACGTCGAAGGAGCCGTCGGGATTCTCTGATTCAAGACCCTGCGACAAATAAACTTAAAGCTCATTTAGTTGTGAACTATCATCAAAATTATCACCTTGAGAGCCCCTGAACTTCGTCCAAGAACTAAGGGCTTTTAGGCCCGCAGTTCTCTTAAATGCTTGCGAACTAGACGAAGCTAATTTAATTGAGGCTTTTGCATCTCCAAGTGTAGCAAATTCCTCAGCTGAAAGTGATAAAGCGTTATAAATTTTTGAATACCAAAAGTGAGGACCTCCTAATTTCATTGTAGGATTTAACAATGCAGCAACACCAAAAATAGGAGGGATAGGAAAACAATATTTTTTAAACTTAGCTTTCATAGAATTAATAGCTTCTTGATAAATTACTCCACCTTCTGAAAATTGAGTAAATAAATCTACAAGTGCTGCAATATAAACTAAACAGTTAGAAATAGTAGGATAATATTGGCCAGATAATTCATTTGTAGCAATATGAAATTGTTCTAAAAAGTCTACAAGCATTTTAACATTACTCCAATCTTGATTTGTAAGGTGCTCATCATCATCATCATCACCATTCTACACGAACATTATATGTTGCGCTTATTGAGTTCCTATATTCATATGCAACAACTAAACTTTCATACATGTAATTCCATCTAGTCGGACAAGGTTTAGGAACCTATCTTTCTCTAAGGCCAAATTTATCACATTTTTAAAAATAGTCTCTAAGTCTACTTCTACGGTTTGAATAAAAAAGCCAATTAAGAGCCATTTTAACCTTTTCAATTTCTACATTTAAAACTTTCATACCAGCACCGACGATTAAATGGTAAATATGACAAATACATCTAACATGAAAAATATTACTAAATGCAGGATTTAGTGTAGTTGTAAGCAAGCCTATAGCATTAGTGTTACTAGAAGCATTATCCATTGAAACCGACATAATTTTATCTCTAATGCAAAAATATCTACAAATATCTGCAACTGTGTTAGCAATAAACTTACCTGTGTGGCGTGAATTAATTATTCTATAAGCAATAATGCGCTTTTGCATTATCCACTCCTCATCTATCCAATGACTTGTAACAGTTAGATAATCACAGTCATTACCACTTCTATCAATATCAGTAGTAATAGTAATACGACAATCTATATGAGTAAATAAATAGCGCAAATATTGTTTATATTCATGTTTATATTTATAAATATCGCTCTTTACGGTTGCGCGAGGCCATCCTTTATAAGTAGGATTAAAAACTCTTCTAATATAATGCACAAAATGATGGTTAGAAGGAAAACTATAGGGTAAGCACATAACAGTAACCATTTTTGTCAATTCTTCA